GATAACAATTTGTTCCAACGGCCATGAAGGTGGCAGAAGCAGGTGCTATGGAGTGCTTAGAGCTAGGTCAGACATCAAAGATGCCAAGGTCATCTACTGCAACCTAAGCCATCACCAATCATCTTGACTTTTGTCTTGCCACTGGATTTCAATGACTCTGGGAGAATGAGGCCTATGACTTTGAGCAACTCTGCCTCACTTAAATACAATTAATGCCCCAGTCAAAAGACATTACCAATACCATTTTACCATCAAGACTAAAGGGGAGAGAGAGTTGGTGTGTGACATTTTGTTTGCAGACAATTGTGCACTCAATGCAGCCTCTAAGGCTGAGATGCAACAAAATATGGATCAATTCTCTGCCACTTGTGTTAATTTTGGCCCGATAATTAACACCAAGAAAACAGAGGTTCTCCACCAGCTAGCACCATACCATCCATATGTGGAAACCATCTGTTATAGCAAATGGAGAAGTTTTTAATGCTATGGATAATTTCACGTATGTTGGCAGTATACTTTCCCGGGATATACACACAAATGATGAGGTTGATGCACACATTGCCAAAGCTAGATCAATATTTGGGAGTCTCTGAAGGAAAGCGTGGGAGAGAAATGGTAGTAGGCTGCCAACCATATTGAAGGTCTACAGAGCTGTTGTGCTGATCTCATTGTTATATGCCTCTGAAACATGCACAATACACCAGCACCATGCCTGGAAACAGAATCCCTTCCATTTGAATTGTCTTAGGAAGATTCTGAAGATTACATGGCAAGATAAGGTACTGGACACTGAGGTCCTTTCTCGAGTTGAACTGCCAAGCATTCAAACTCTGTTTCAGAGAGTGCAACTTCAATGGGTTAGCCTTGTTGTTCAAATGCCAAAAGTATATTTGTCTAAAAGACTATTTTACAGAGAACTCACACAAGGCAAGTGCTCACACAAAGGTCAGAAGAAGTGATACAAGGACACTCTCAAGATCTCTCTGGAGAACTTTGGAATTGATTACTAGACAGGGGAGACACCATCCAGTATGACATGCCCACATCAAAGAAGGTGCTCTACTCTATGAGCAAAGCAGAATTACAGCAGCTCAAAAGAAATGTGAGGTGCAAAACATGTTCATATGGACTATTTGTGACTGACTTGTGGTAGAGCCTTTCAAGCTCAAATTGATCTGATCAGCCACAGTCAACATACTACACCTTGACCCCAACATAGTGATGTCATTTTGGTCCTTTCTGAGCATAAAGAACAACTAATCATAGAGATGGTAAGATACATGTATTTCCTTATACTCTATTTCTATTAAAATGTTTTAGTAACTTTGGGGTTCATCATTTTTTTGGTCTTGCATTCCTAAAATCCAAGGAATCCCTCCCTGTCCACTAGTTATAAGTCCATAGATAGAGAAGCCGTCTAAAAGGTTTTCCCTACTGCCTTGGGACAACGTATAGATAAAGGTATCACTACTCAAAGTTCCCCAAAGGTAGACATGGAAACAGAGGCAACAGATGAAACCCTTTCTCTCCACTTTTGAAGGGGCTATAAAGTTCAAAGTGAGGTTGAGAAATGAGGAAAACCATTAGTAATATCACAGCCTACATGATAAGATAAGATTCCCCTAATATATACAGGAGTTCTAGGAGATCTTTGGGCTCCTATTTTATCTGTGGATTTCTGTGCTAGTTGTTGGTGGAAGGGACACATCAACATTTGAAAACACTCTGGAGCCCCATAAGCAGCTGTGTTTAAGTACTTCAACAGACTCAAAGACCAGCTGACTGTACCCTAAAATATTATTCTAATATCTTTGGTTTAAGGTATATTAGTTTGGTTGGGGCTTTCTGGTGTGGCTCTTGACTTGACACAAAATCACCTATTTGGGAAGTTTGCAACTAAATGATGAAAAGAACAAACAGGAGAGCATGATCACCTCCTCTACCTCCAATAACCTTGCTTTCCCCGAAACCTAAAATATTAAGGGATTTCCCTTGCATTGGTGGAGGAGTTTGCAAGCAGATGTATTTGGAGGACAGGATGGAAGAATGTCAGGAGGCAAAGTTAGATGTGATGATGCCTGGGCCACAGTGGTGCACTGGAGCTGATACCAGCTCACAAAAGCCTATTGTTAAATTTTCAGAAATTTTGGGAGTCGGTTATTAAACAAGGCCATTATTAAAAATTAAAGTATATGAACTTATAATTAAATAAATTTATTAAAAACAAAAGTAACAAGTACTTTAAAGTCATTACTTCCCAATTATTTTTGCTGCATTTTACTATTATCTATGCTCTTGAAGTTATTTACATATATTGTATCCATATATTGACAATACTATATAATGACATGCATCTCCTCCCAATTACTTGTAGCTTGAAATTGGTCAAAGTGAAAGTATGTGCTCTGTGGATATAAGCAAATGCTACAAATCAGGGCTTGATTTATTATTTTGTTGATTGTATAGACTTAAGAAAGTGAGGAAGAAAATATTAACAATGCAGATTAAACTTAAAAGTATCATGTCTATACCCATTGCATTGTGAATAGCACAAAAAATTGTGGAAATATTCTTCCTATATTCAAAAACTATTATCTAATTCATCAAAGAAGTCATATAATTGATATTCTTTATGTCAGTAAAATGTATAATATGTATACTTATGTATATATACACATGTCAGGATATACAAACATATGTATACCTTTTATGTGCCCACTGTGTGTATATGCATTGTGCACATTCATACATATATACACGCATGGTATACAATATGCACATATATTTTATATGCAAGTACATATGTGTGTATACAAATACATACATGCACACAGATACAATATATTTATATACCTATATATACATGATGTGTATGTAGGTATATGCATATGTGTACATATTTAGATATGTATATTGAGAAAATGATTTTTTTATTATATTAATAACCAATTTGAAATACAGGACTCAAAGATCCTCTTTTTTATTATTAGTAGTTAATTATTAGTAGGCTCAGTTATTAGTAGGATTTTATTTTTCATGTTTTACTTCCTCATTTAAAGACTGGGTCCAGACAGCTTCGATAGGACAGGGCTGATGATGAGATTGAGTTATCATTCTTCTCATTCTTGAGCAAGGAGCTATCCAGCTGGGAGAGTTTAGTTCTAATTAAAAGGTAAAGAGAATCTAATGTAGGTGAATTCCAGCCTGAGTTCTACTCAGGTAGGACTGGGTGGAGGATAGATCCATTTGGATAGATTCCTGGAGGCAAATGATCTGGGTGTGGAGATGAGTCTCTTTGTCTAAGAGTGATGACATGATCAATGTCAGGTCCCCTAGCCCCTCATCAGGATAGGCCTACCCCTCATTATAATATTCATTCTATCATTAATTGTTAACCAATCAGAATTGATTTCCATCTGTCAGAGACAACCTCTTTTCCAAAGGCATTTAACCATTTGAGAGGCCTCCATGACTCATCTTTGGTTGCAGAGAGAAGCCACTGATTTCAATTTATTATTTGCTATTTTTTATCATTTGCTATTATTTATTAACCATAATTAATAAGTTGATTATCAGTAAATAAATTACCCAGAAATAATAAATAATAAATTACCCAGAAACTGTCTCTCAAAATTTTCATTCATTACAGTATATACATAATATGCATACTATAAATATTCCTAACGTAAAGGATGTCAATGGTGTGACTTCTTTACTTAATTAGATAATAGTATATTACATACATATATATATATACATACACACATGTATGTGCATATACATATACACAGACTTTTCTCCCCCAAAGAGCCAACTGTTAAACATTTACTAGCACTCCACTGCCTGTGGTCATCAGAGGACAGAAGGTACATGAATTCCTAGGTATCCTCTGGAATTTGGGGTGAATTATGGACATATTCCTTGCCCCCTGTCACAAAGTTTTGTCGTGTGGGACAATAATGTTTCTTAGATGCTTCTCTGAAAGCCCCAGTCTCCACATTCAAATGAGATAATGTTCATAAAGAGCTTTATAGACCTGAAGTTATTATCATTATATTACCCTATGGTACCAACCCTCTAAGCCTTAGGATGTGGTCAATAAATGCTATTTGTGGAACTCAGGTGTGATTGTTAATACTGACCACAGCTAACAACACTCTAATTCAAGTATCCTCAAAGATATTCTCTACTCACCCACCCTGTACTGGGCCCTATTTTTCAGCTTCTTTCTCAGACAATAGCATCTACCACCTAGGGTTTTTTGTGAGGATAAAACGAGATAATATTTGCAAAGTGGTTTTTAAACATTAAAGAGCTATATAATTACTAGCAATGTTAGTTATTCTTTAAAGGGGACGAGCTGTCCATGGGTCAAGTCTTCACATCCCCTGGATTCTTTCTGATTATTCCTCTTCTTACTCAACTCCCAGGGGTGATCAGTTATCCAATGTTCCAACGTTTATTTGTAGGGAAGCTATATTAACTTAAGATGCATTTCATCTACCTCTACATCAAGGGTTATTAACTTTTTTGTGTGTCATGGAACCCTTTGGCAATCTAGGGAAATCCAGGGATTCCTTGAGATGTCTTTAAACACATAAAATATATAGGGTTCCAAAGGAAACCAATTATATTGAAATACAGTTGTCAAACTATTTTTTAAAAAGTTTGCAGAAACCTGCATTATTAAAAGTGGTTCAAAAGATACCTACAAATTGGGGGAAGGATCATTCATTATAGCTGTAACAGCAATGGTTTTGAGAGTAAATAAGCCAGTCCTGGATCTCAGGAGATGATCTGTACCCACAGTAAATGTTTCACTTCAAGCCAGGGCCTTTTCCCCTGACCAAGTATCTAAAACTTTAAGAACCTAGGCGAGGCAAGAGGCCCTGCTGTGATGAGATCTGAAGCTCTGAGTAGAGCCAAACACTCTAAAATTGCTTCTAAGGAAATACCGTCAATGACTTCTTATAGTCTATATGAAAGAGACTAATACCCAGTTTCCTTTGATGCTTTTATTAATTCACACGTACAAGTCTTGTTCTGACAACTTGGCAGGGAAAAGTCCCAGGGAGGCAGAACGAGAGGATCCCAGGTGGGTTAAAAAGAGAGAAGGAAAGTTAGAGAGTCCATGCCAAGGGTCTGCAGTCAGATGGGGAGCCCAGAAACGTCAGGAACTCGGCTCCCCGGAAGGTTTGTCCTTCCTCTGTCTTCACACATTATGACTTCAGGAAGAAATGAAAGGGTTAATTTCACAGTAGCAGATTATATGGCCCAGGCTGAAACACTCCTTGGTAGGAGTGGAGGAGAAGCAGATAAAGCCTTCTGGTCCATCAGAAGCCATGAGAGAGACGAAATCCACGAGCCTGGCAGGAGACATTCCTGGGATTGGGCCAGCTGTAGGTTCCAAAGAAGGGTCCTGTTATTTTTCTGTAAAGAAGACAAGACAATAAGGGAATGGGGGGAAAGTCAGCCTGAGGTAGTGGAAAGAGCACTATATTGGGAGGCAGAGGGCATGAGTTTGAGTCTCCGGTGACCTAATCTCTTTGGGACTATTTCTCATCAGTAACATGGAGGGAGGTGTGTTTTGGGGAAGAGGGAGACTAGTTTAATTCTAAATTCCTTTTAGCTTAAAATCCAATGAGTCCTTATGCATTGTTCTCTGGTAATCTAAAGAGGACTAGGTTATAGTACAGGAAAGAGGAGGCCATCCCTGAATTCACCACTCTCTGTTCTCATTATGTTCATGCCGTAACAAAAACAGGTGATACAGAGCCTGGAGGATCCACTTGCCTGTCTCTTGAAACAATTATAAATTATGGCTCTAACTTGTATGACCTGTACAACTGGGACAATTCACTTGTTCTTTCTGAGACTCAATTTTCTCATTGTATTATGAAGATAACAACACTGTCACTACTCACCTCACGTGGTTTTCGGGAGGAAAAAGCTCTGTAGAGCTTTGAAGGACTATAGATACAGAAATGATTATTATTGGTATCACAGCATTGTCATTTCTAGCTCCCAGAATTGGGTATGTGATTCAGAGGCCCTGAGCACCAGCCAGTCCCCTGACCTGATCCTCAGAATAAGGAATATTATGGGGCGGGGAGTATTTCTGATCGTCTCTTCCCCACCCTTATACCTTCTAATCCCTGTTCTTGCAATTCTACTCCTATTGGAAAGCAGAGCCTCCAGAGAGGCAGGGCATTGGGATCACAGGACATTCTCACACAGGGCCTTTCTTCAAACCGTCCAGTAGCCATTGGAGGCTTTGGGGGATTGTGGTTAGGGGGTTCCCATTCATTGCCCTGGGAATTTCCATTCTACAGAAATGGGAACTAGGTTTTTCTAATATGATCCAAGGATCTTCTCCAGATGTAGCCCATGGAAGTCCAGGGAATGGGGGTAGGATTGTAGCCCTTTCTCATGATCTTGGTTGGAATTAATTATGAAGAGAGAGCAAAGGGTAGTGGAAAAAATAGTACTAGACAAGGAGGGAGGTAGACTTGTGTTCTAGTCTTAGCTCTGTAACTGTGTGATTTCCAGTTAGTCATTTCTTTTCTCTGTGCCTCAGTTTCTCCATTTGTAAAAAGAAGAGGATGCACTAGACAGCCTGTGTTGATTTTGTGACCATCATTTCCTCCCCGCCTCCAGTCTCCAACAGCAACCATTAGTGGGGTTCAATTACAATGACTAGTCTGATAACAAAAGAATAATGTGTTCATGGGGTTGAGCATTCTGGGGGTGAGGGAGTGGGTCAAGCTGAGCTTAAGAAGGTGATATCCCCTCCTACTGTTAGTTGGAATCACCCCCCCCCCACCCTAGGCTCCTCTTGGGCCTCAGGCATACCAGAACAGATTACAGACACATCCTCCCGGTGGGTGCAGTCATGGTAGCCCCAGAAACGGTGTTTACATTGTTCCAAAGATGTCTCCTTGCCCTTGCAGCGGACGTCATCCAACCAGATGTGGCCTTTCCCATGGCCAAAACGCACCCTATCTCGGGGCTTCTGGAAGACAGCCTTGCCACAGTTCATCTCCTGGCAAACCACCTGATCCTCCTTTTCCCCCCAGCCATCATTGCAAACAGAGCCCCAGATGCCTTTGTGGAGCACCTCCAGGCGACCTGAACAATTGTGTTTTCCATCCACCAGCCTCAAGGCAAAGCGTTCTGGGGAGAAAAGAGAGATGAACAAGCAACAGACAGTTGCTGTAACCCGAAGGGCCTAGAGACATATTGTGCCCATTTTTCTTTCCTCTACTAAATTCTCCTTTTCCTTAATAACATTAGGTTTCAATTACAATAGGATTCGAGGACTTACAACTAAAAGAGACGTCAGAGATCACCCAGGCCATGAGGGTAGCTGACTTTGCAGGCAAATTCATATTCATTACCCCATTTGATCCTGACACTTCCGTGGAGTAGCCACAAATCAGAGACAGGATGGATAGCTGGAAGGAATGTTAGAAATCATCTCTGCCCCCCATTTTATGGATGAGGAAACTGAGGCCCAGGAAGTTTAAGGTTCGTGCCCCAAATGACACAGGTAGTAACAGAACCAAGATTCCAGATCTGGTCCTCTGTTGCCAAACATGGAGCTGTTTCCCCTTTCAGACCCACAAGTCTTTCAAGTAATAAGCCGAGCAGATCTTATCACCATTTTGCGGAGGCTCAGAAAAAATATCATAGTAGACTGTTGTGGGCAAACAATTGGCTTTCTAGTTGAATCTGAGTTCTACTCCTTGCTTTGAGTATGATCTTGGGCAAGTAACAACGCCTCTGGGGGCAACTAGATAAAAAGACCTCTTAGGGAAGCTAGGTAGCATAGTGGATAGAGCACTGAGTCTGGAATCAAGAAGACCTGAGTTCAAGTTTGATCTGAGATACTTACTAGCTGCATGCAAATCACTAAACCTCTGTCAGTCTCAGTTTTCTCATCTGTGAGATAAGGATAATAATAGAACCTACCTCCCAGGGTTGTAGTGAGATCAAATGAGATATTTGTAAAGTACTTAACACACTGCCTGGCACATAGTAGGTGCTTAATAAATGTTTCTTACCTTCTTCCTTCCCTGCCAGTGTCACATAGCTAGTAAGTGTTTGAAACTCTGCTCAATCTACTATACCACAGCTAACTGGTTGTTATGAGGATCAGATTTATAAAACACTTGGCACTGAGTAGGTGCTTAATAAATGTTCCTTCTCTCCCTCTAGACCTCAGTTTCCTAGTTAATAAAATGAAAAGAATGATTAGAATCAGAGTTTCTCAAAGTGTGTTCTGGAGACCCCACAAGACCATTCAAAGGGTCCATAAGGTCAAAACTATTCTCATAATAATACTAGGGTGGTTTTATTTCTATCATAAGTATCACCTTTTAAGGTATTCTCATAATAATACTAAGATGCTTTAATTTCTATTGTGATAAATATCAGTGGATAAAAATATATATATTAAAATATTAAAACATGTAACAATTTTATGTTTAAAAACATAAAAAATATAAAACATATATATTTTTAAAGCTCTTAAAGAAGAGGAGTGTCCTTAATAATTTTTAAGAGTATAAAGGTGTGGGGCAGCTAGGTGGTACAGTGGATAGAGCACTAGCCCTGAAGACAGGAGGACCTGAGTTCAAATATGGCCTCAGACCAAACACTTAACAATTACTAGCTATGTGACCCCGGGCAAGTCACTTAACCCCAATCATCTAAAAAAAAAAATAAATTAAAAAAAAAAAGAGCATAAAGGCATCCTGAGACCAAAAAGACTGAGAACTGCTGACCTAGACTACCTCTTCCAGTCTAAATTTAATGAAACCCCTATCAAGTGGTTAGCCAGAGAATGTTGACATTTTACACTAGGGCAGGGGTGGGAAATCTGCGGCCTTGAGGTCAATGTGACCTCACATTGACCTCAAGGCCTCAGGTTCTCCACCCCTTGACTAGAGGAAACTTAAAGCCAGGGAAATGTAGTGATTTGCCCAAGGTCATAAACAATAAGTGATGGAGAGTCGGCAGTCCAAACAAGTTGCTCTGATACCTGCTGAAATGTTCTTTCTACAGCACTAGTCTTTCTCTCCTCATCGTTCCACCAGCAGATTGTTCACCCGTTCCTACAGTACCACCTCGATTCAATTTAATCAAGGCACTGGAAAGATATTCAAATAAGAGTCACTGAGCATTCAACTGGTGTGGGAAACTTCTTTTCTATATAACCCATATAATATTCCCAGAGCTCAGAAGGAAGGGACTGGTAGGAAATAGAGATTTCACACTTCTACCCTGAGTTCTAGGTATTATTTTCTATTCCTTCTCCATTGTGTTTCTTTCAACATCCCACCTTCTCTCCAGACTCCCTCCCTGCCACCTCTACCCCCCCACCCCCTCCATCTTTACCTCCTACCCCCTCCACTCCAATTTGGTGTAGTAAAAAATTTCTAAGATAGAAATTTTCCCATGATGAGTCACTTAGTGGAAAAGCTCAATTAGAATGAAAACAATCAAGTTTTTGTTGTTTTTTTTTTTGTTCAGTTGTGTCCGATTCTTCATAGCCCTATTTGGGGTTTTCTTGGTAAAGATACTGGAGTGGTTTGCCATTTCCTTCTCTAGCTTCTTTTACAGATGAGGAATCTGAGGCAAACAGCATTAAGAGACTTGCCCAGGATCACACAGCTAGTAAGTGTCTGAGGCCAGATTTGAGCTCATGAAGATGAGTCTTCCTGATTCCAAGCCCAAGGCTCTATCCACTGCACCACCTAGCTGCCCCTTCACTTCTGTTTTATCAAGGTTTATATGAAAAAGTCTCATTATACAGCCCCTGGCTAGATCAGCGATACAACACATCTAAGGGTTAAATTGTGCCACAAGGTGATATATAGTAAAATATAGCAGGCCACCTGGCTGCCTGGTTCTAGAGATGTCTAGCACAAAGAAGAAAAAACTCAGTGGGGAAAGGATAACAGTCTTCAAGCATTTTAAAGGCTGTTATGTGAAAGAAGAATCAGACCTGTTTTGCTTGGTCCCTATAGACAGAACTAGCGATGGATAGAAGTTGCAAATAGGCAAATTTAGGTTTAATGTCACCAAAAATTTCCTAATGATTAGAACTATCCCAGAGCATAATGGGCTGCCTGGAGAAGAAATGGGTTCCCACTCACGGGAGGTCTTCAAGCTGAATGGACGTTCACTTGTTGGCTTATTGGGCATCTTGTATGTTGTTGAAGTGTGAAGTCGACAAGATGGATGCCAAGAACTCTTTAAACAATAGATTTCAGTGGTTCTGTGACCTAATCTCTGTCCTTTGTACATACCACATGTCAACCCTGTGCCAGAACCCCATCCTCCAATTCCCATGCTTTAGAAAGCCATCTCTAATTCACCCATAGCCGGGTCTTGATTATTGCAAATAATGAATTCCCTGAAGTAGTCACATGTATTTGGATTCATGCGATTTGAAGTCATAATTATATAAAATATGGTGGTTGGTTCTAGCCCAGTGGAACTGTGCAGTGGGTATCTCTATAATGCAACTACTTCAGAGCATTCGTTATTTTTACTAATTCGAGTCAGATTGTAGCTAGTAATGATGTTCCTTCCTCAGACTTCACATACCATTTTCTATCTCTCTTAGGGGATTATTATTCCTTATGTTTTATTTAAGTTATTGGTGTATATGTGTCATATTTCTCCAAATTGATTATTATTTCATAAACTCATGTCTGATTCCCCCTATAGCCAAGCATAGTGCTTTGAAGACAGTAAGCTTTAATAACAGTTCATCACATTGAGTTGACTCTTTTTCTCTTCCCTGACACAAGCCTTATCATGGCTTTCTATGATTTAAAAAAGTTTGTCTTCCTGAACAATAATAAATAGCTAGCATTTATATATTGCTTTAAGTTTTGTGACCATTATAACAACCTTGTGACGTAATAATAATAAGATAATCGCTAGCATTTATAGCACTTTAAAGCATGCTCTAGAGGCATGGGGACCATTAAAAAGAAAGTAATTGAAAACGTCAGAGACAAGTGACTCTATTCAAGGTTCAGCTAAGACAGGTTCTTCATCTTTTTTGTGTCATAGACTCCTTTGATATTCTGGTGAAATCTAGGGACCCTTTCTCAGAATAATGTTTTTAAATGCACAGAATAAAATACATAGGAATATAAAAAATTTTATCTTAAAATACCATCATCAGAACATTGAACAAACAAACACAAGACAAGTTCACAGATCCCATATTAATTATTATATATTATCCTATATTATACATATTAATTAATTAATGCATATTATATATATATATATTATTATCCCATTTTCTCCCTGAGCTGGGAGAAAAGACTCCTTGACTCCTTGCAAATGTTTCTGTAAAGAAACCGAAGAAACTTTTTGGCTAGCTGAGAGAAACTGGTCTTTCATGAACAATTTTATATAAGAATACTTAAAATAGATAAGGCCCAAACAGATAATTCAGAGCTGACTATGGGTAAATATGTAACAAGTTTGGACTTCCATGACATTCAGAAGCTACCATTAACTGATCACCACCACCACCACCACCACCCCTGGCCCCTTCCCCCTTCCTTCTAAAGGTAAAGTGTTCCATTCCTGATAAAGGGAATCAAGTTTTCATTCTTTTAAGGATTCCGATATATACTGGATTAATTGGATTGATTTAAACAGAGTTAGATCCTAGAATCCCAAGCATTACCTTCACAGTGGACCCAGGTATCATCCTTATGAGAACAGTTATTCGTCTCCATTCGTACAACTGGACAGTTACTCAGGGATGCTTCTGACCCTTGGCATTCCACTTGGCCTGGCCAGATGTCCCCTGTGCCCTGTTGATCCTTGCTACAAGAACCCGTCGTCAGAAAGGGTCTTCCACAGCCTAGCTCCCGACACAGCACCTTGGCGTCCTGGAAGGTCCAGCCTGCATTGCACACAGTATCCCACTTCCCAGCATATTTCACCTCCACTCGGCCAGTGCAGGGACTAGGACCACCAACCAGATGAAAATCATCGAAATTTAGAATTTCTTAAAAAATAAGACAGTGAAAAGAACTTAAGATGTTAGGTTTACAATCTTGGGTCTGCTTTTTGGCAACAATTTTTATATTTGCTTTGACTTTTCACAACATTTTTACATCTATTATTTCACTGGCTTCCCTCAACAATCCTATAATGTAGGTGTAGGTAATACTATCCTCATTTTGCAGATTAGAAAAATAAGGCCAAGGGTTGTCAGGACCTGGACACTGGGGACCCTCTAAGGATTTAAAAGCAGTAGGTTTAAATAATAAAAAATAAAAGTGGTAGAGTCACCTAGTTACATCATTGAATGAAGAACTGGAAGTAATCATAGAGTTCATTTAGTCCAGTCCCTTCATTTTACACAAGGGAAAATTAAGGACTAGAGACTTTAAGTAAATGGTCAATGATCACAAAGATCATAGGATTATAGTCTTAAAACTAGATGGGACCTTAGAGATCTGGTCTATCACTTATGAGGATTCCTCACTAGAGAATTTAAGTGACTGGCCCAAGGTCACACAGAGTAAATAGTAGACATAGAATTTAAACTCAAGATCTCTAGTTCCAAAAAAGTATCCTTCCTACCATGGCACCAAGTCTTTTTTTTCCATTCCACCAGAGTAACCTCTCAACTTTCCACAAGATGCTTACTTTATAGAGGCTTCATCTATGTGGGATTCACCTCTGTCTGGCCAGGTGGTACCAGCCTGCATTTCCTTCTCCTTATTTCCAGGCTCTGTTTACTTTGTACTCAGCCCACATGCCTATTTCTTCAACTCCTGACTTCTTTCCCCCTCTTCAGCTGAACACCTTATGACTTGGTTTTGAGGGTCTGCAATTCTCATGCTCTGCAGGAATTTCCTTGGCTTGATGCTGCTTTATGTCAGAAGGAGGGCTCATGGACAGCCCTAAGGCAAGCGACAGCCCTATTTTGCCACCCCCTGAAACTCAGAGACAATCTAGTCCATTCCTCTCACTTGGACAATGAGACCCAGAGAGAGGAAATGACTTGTCCAAAATCTGATAGCTAGTAAGTGGCAGCCTTGGAATTGGTGGGACTTAAAAATGCCTACTATGGAAATATGTTTTACATGATTGCATATGAATAGCCTAGATCAGATTGCTTACTGTCTCAGGGAGGGAGAGAGAGAATTTGGAACTCAAAATAAAAAAAAAATTAAAAACCTTAATGCTAAAAATTGTTTTTTACATGTAATTAGGGGAAAATAAAATATTATTTTTAAAAAAAGGAATTGGAGGGACTTGAATACAGGTCTTGTGGCCAGGACTCTACACTTGACTTGTTTAAAACAATGTAGTATCTTGGAGAAGCTTTCTTGGAGAAGAAAGAATAGACATAAACATAGAAAGTTTTGATACTCATGAAACATACATTTACCCATGGGGAAATATACACAGTATATATTATGAATATGTGTTAAGTAGATGTGAATAATTTTTTGACGCGCGTGTCCTGTTCTTCCTAACTAGACTGTGAGCACCTTGAGGACAGAAATGTCTTGCCCTTCCTTTTACTATCATTCACTGATTGATTGACACATGTGAAGTATCAAGTAGATAGGCACTCAAATGTGTGTGTGTGTGTGTGTGTGTGTGTGTGTGTGTGTACTGAGTAATCTTAGGGTGGATTGGGTGGTTTAATTGATGAAAGCTCCCTCCAGGATGTGAGTATTGAATAGGATTATTATGGGCGTGGGGGCAGGTAGGTGATGCAATGGGCCTGGAATGGGAAGAGTTGGGAGAATGAACTGGGTTAAAGTTCTAACTGCTCCGTGGAGCATTTTATAGAACTCTAGAATAAAGATCTGGAAGGGAGCTCAGGTATTATCACAACCCAATCATTTTTCCACCAGAGAAAAAGCTTCAAAGACTCCAAAAGATTTGCCCAATGTCACACAGTAGATCTTGCCCAAAGTAGAAAATGGATAATCAAAATATAGGTAAACACGGAAGGGGATGAAACCTAGACAGTCAGCATGTTTTGGACAGAGTATAGGACTTGAAGTCAGAAGACTTGTTTTCACGTTGCAACTCTGATATTCATCAGCTGTGTGCCCCTGAGCAAGTCTCTTACTCTCTGATCCCTCCTTTCCTCAACTGTAAACTGAAGATAATAATTACTTGCACTAACTTATAAGATTGATCTGAGGAAAGCACTTTGTAAACCTTAAAAGCACTGTTACAATTATTATAATAACCATTATTATTATGATTATATCCTTACTAAGTCCAGGGTCATCCCAAGCCCTCAGCTGATCATTAATAACTCACCTTCACAGATTGCCCCTGCATCTTCATCATGATCACTGCATTCTATGGACATATCTTCTTCACATTCTACCAGTGTCTCTTCTGTCCCTTGGCATTTCAGGTTCCAAATAGGCTGGTCTTTCTGGGGTTTTGGTGAATAGATTTTGCCAGCTGGTAATGGCACATCTGGTCCTGCCACAGCTGGTCCACATTCCAGCTCCCGGCATACTATAGCCATTATTTTGTTCGTCCAGTAGTCATCACATAAAGTGCCCCATTGCCCATTCTTCCACAACTCCACCCGACCTTCACAACGGTTAGGGCCTCCCACTAGGCGCACGCCATGAGAGAGCTCTGCAAATGACCAGATCATTTCAGGGGAGGGGGGAATGAAAGGCCTCGAAAATGATCACACAAGGCAGATCTGGGGAGGTACTCAGCCAGAACCATAGTTAAGAATTTTTACACCTGGGTCAAGCTGACAAACAATGGCACAATTGGCATAAGAGCCCCTCTTAATTTCAGGGAGAAATAGAAAACCACTCTGCAGGAGGAGGGGAGAAAAAACCTCAGGGCACATCAAGACCATTGCTTGGAAGACTTCCCACCCCTGAGGAAACATATCCTTCGATAACTTCTTTTTTTAAACTAATCATTCTTGACAGCTAGGTGCTAAGGTCAGTTAAGTTTTCACACTCGACATCCAAGTCGACTGGTTACTTCTGGGGTGGAGTTTTAAGCCTCGTAGCAAATAGGTACATGCCAAACTCATCTCCCCACAATTGTCACATTAGTGATAAAAGGAACCTTATGGATCACTTAGAGTCACTCCTTCAAAGTTAACAGAGCAGGAAACTGAAATCTAGAGCAAGAAGTCACAGAGGAAGGCTCATCTAACTCTTACCGAAGTTGAGGCTGACCTGAGGTGTAGTCAATGGAGCACCAAAAACAGGTAGATTTACAAACTTTTAGAGCTAGGGAGGACTTTGGAAACCATCTTGGCCCATGCCTTCATTGTAGAGGAGAGGGAACAGAGGAATGGAATTAGTGTTAGAGCTAGGGTGCCCTGATTCCTACTTATTGAAATTTGATCTCACTTGTCTTTCCCCTTCTCTGGCTCTCATTTCCTGAGCTCCAGTTCTTCCAGGGTAAGAGGCACCAGCTCTCATGACTCAGAAAAAGCAGCTGAGCAGGAAAGGGCTCCCCTTGATCTCGAGGTTCCTGAGATAGGAGGCAGAAGCACACCCAGGAAGGCACAGTTCTCCAGCAGGGATGAAGGACCGGTGCCCTCTTCTGCCTTGCCCTTTGTGATCATCCTTCTTCCAGGACAGACATCGCTGAGGGTCTCAGCCCAGAACTCTTCGACCTGGGGGAACATCTCCCTTTCCCTGAAGCAGCTCAGTCCCTGTCTCCCACACTCCTAAACTACCTCCTCACTCCACAAGAAGATCCACCTTATTTTCAACTCAGGTTTCTTGTTCAATCCCTGCAGGAAAGTCTGAGAATATGGGGAAGGAAAAGCTTAGAGGAAAAGAAAAGTTTGTAAACTCAGGGAGACAGAGAGAAATAACCTTCTATTAAGGACTGAAATGCTGTCTCTCTTTACCCATCTTTCTCCACCTGATGTTCCAGCCAATCATAAGTGAGGGTGGGGAGTTTCCTAGTCTGTCTCCAGCACTGTGCTGTAAGGCAGCACCTGAATGGCCACCCCCCATCATGATGGAGTAGGGCAGCCTTGCTCCCCCAGTCAGAGCTTGGATCCTGCTTTTTTCTCTCCCTTCATATCCAACAAACCCCACAAGACTGTGTGGAGCTGCTCCCCCAGAGGCAGGGTGCTCCTGCTCCCATTTTCACTGTTTTGTAGCTCCCTCACTGCCCCAGGATACATTTGCATCCCAGCCCAAACACCAGGCTCAGATGGGGGTCTTTTTCCTTAAAGGATCATAACTTCAGAGTTGAAATGGACCTTAGAATCTATTCTTTTCATTTCACGGATGAGGAACTTGAAGCCCAGAGAACTGAATGATTTGCTCATTGACAAATGTCAAAGCCAGGATCTAACCCCAGAGGTTCCAGAGCCATATCCAGGGCTCTCTCCTTGTACCACATAACTTCTTTCAGGCACCAAAAAAAAAGTCCTTTTGCCACAAGGCTAATTTTCCATTCTTGAGTGGCATTCTTCACCCTAAGAAAAAAAACCCTGGTGGCCCCTGACTATTTAAATTGACTAAACTTCATAGAGTCAGGAAGTCCTGCCTCAGATATATACTGACAGTATGACCCTGGGTGGGTCACTTGATTAAGTATCTCAGTATCCCAGGCAATTCTCTGAGACTAGAAGTTGCCGAAAAATGCTGACTTACACTGATAGAGAGTTTCCTCACCAGGAGTTCCCCATATCATTGAAATAGCAGGGACTTCTAAGCTTCTGTTGCTGTTCAGTTATTTCAGTCATCTCCAACTCTTTGTGACCCTCTGTCTTATTTCTAACCCCACCCCACTCTTTCAACATCCCTTACTGCCTAATGCCCTCTAAAGCTCTACTGGTTTCAATTTTTGGGGGGGGAGGGAAGCTCATATTTGATTAACACTGAAGCTAGATTTGGTTCTGATGAACCCGTAGGTTTCAGGCTTCTTGGCTACGAGAAGAAAGGGCCAGAGCCTCAGAATGCCAGTCTTTAGGGAAATTCACCGAGGACAGATGGAGGCCATGGGCCTTTGTAACATTTCAGCTTCTCCCTAGATGGAATAGAAAATGGTGGGATGGATACTTTGAACCTAGGATTGTTATCAGGTTCCCACAGAGGTAACCTGGAAATGGAAGGAGTTTTGGACCTGGAGTCAGAAGAATTAGTTTTAAATTATGACTGGATTTGAATCCTTTACTAGCTTTTTGACCTTGGGCAAGTCACTTAAATGCTTTGACTCTTAGTGTGTTCATTGCAAAATGGAGATAAAAATTCTCATTATCATACCACCTACCTCACAGGGATGTCTCTAAGAAAGATCTTTGTAAACTGTAAAGTATTTTTAAAAATAATCTGTTGTTATTCATTATGATTAAGAGTACAAATGTTCAGGAGTTATGAAGAATTTGAGAAACAGATTGAGGATCAGGAGTAGGCTTGACATCAAACTGATCGTTAAATCTCTCTCCTTGAATAAGGAGGCAATAATAATAATTATATTAATAGCTTACACAATAATAATAAAAACTACACGTGTGTGACACTTTACAGTTTAAAAAGAAAATTTCACCCTTTACCTCATCCAAACAACAATTCTTCAAAGTCCAGGAAAATGACCATTCTGACACCCTAGCCATCTAGCTCCTTGACCTTGTCAACCTTTACCTTCACTCTACTTCTGTAACCCTAAAGCACAAACACAACCAGAAAGTGAATGTCATTGGGACAAGACCTTAAACACTTTCTGACTACTATCTACACATACCGTGCTGTTCTTCCTGCTGGACCTGCTTTTATCCCTTCAGTTCCACAATGCTCCATATTCTCTCAGTCCATCCACTTCCTTCTGTATTTGCTTGCCTCTGTAGCCAGCTTGGAGTCCAAGATTCTCTGGATAACACCTCAGATTCCCTTGTCTCCTTTTGAGAAGGAGAAGAGGTGGAGTGACCACTAGGACTAAATCTCAGGTCTCTCCTGCCTCCTAGACTCCTAGCTTCTTTCTACTACCTCAGTAAGGCCCTCAGTGCTCCTTGGGAATCGTTTTTGTTATTTTTAGGAGATTCCCCATCATATTACTCACATGGGCTGACTCAAGCTTTTTATGTCATTCTCCTTAAGCCCCCCAATCTACTCCTAATTGCTGTGGCCTGGGGTAGACCTAGGATTCTAATGAGGAAGGGCTGAGTAACCCAGGGACTAGGGACACAAAAGTATGCTGGCCGGCAAGAAAGGGTGCAATCTGGGCTGAGAGTCAGAGCCTCAAGGCCTAAGCAGACTTGAGAAATCACCTAGTTTCATTGTCTCATTTTACTGAAACAGAAACAGAGCGAAGAGAAGGAAGTAATTTGCCGAATATCACCAAGTGAGTTAGTAAAAGAATCCCATCTGAGGGCTAAAATGCATCAATAATGAGTAATGAGAGCCTGAGAATCCATAACCTAACCTGCACCTACAAACTCTCTAGAAATCCTGAACTCAAGCAGCCAAGTCATCCGTTTGTGGTGAAAGAACCCCGGGAAGAAGCAAAAGGGGAAGAGCTGTGCTTTGTGGAAGGAGTATTATGTGAAACCGCTCTCTCCTTTCCCTAGCCTTGGGGGTGAAAATAGAAAGTTATTGGGCAGAGATTCTCTTCTCTGGTGGTTGAGGTATGTTACCTCAAATGTCTCTCCAGAGCTCAAGAAGCTTCAAAACCTCCTCTCCTTTAGCTGGGGGATCAGTTTTTCAGGGGTTCCAAAGCTAAATAAAAGCTCTTACCTGACAAGCCAAGTCCAGTGCCTATGGGGGGGGGGGGAAGGAAAGGAGGGGAAAAGATGAGTCAACAAGAAGCATTCATGAACCCTACTATGCAGCCCACCCTCACCTATGTACACTGAGGAGATGCAAAGAATCTCAAAAGACGAGACCTACCCTTCAAACACTTATAGGCTAATTAGGGAGGCAAGATGTGTACATCAAAATATATAATGTCTGATATAAATGAGCAACACTTGACAAGCCATTCTACTTCTCCTCAGAGGAGGGGAAGATCCCTGGGCCCTGGAGTGCTTAGGGAAAGCTTCATGGAAGAGGTGGGTCTATTCTGTGTCTTGAAGGATTCAGATAGACCAAGAGGAATGAGGTGGGAAAGGAATTATAGGAAGCAAAAACAGCCTGAACAAAACTACGAAAAAGGAAATTAGATAAGAAGACATAAAGAAGGAACATGTTTTTTATATCTTTGCTCTGTTTCTCTTCACCTGTACCTCATATATGTATGTATATATGCATATATATGTGTGTGTGTATATATATGTGTGTGTGTGTCTGTGTGCATATATATATACACACACACACATATATATATATACATATATATATA